TCAATGGCGGGAGAGGGGGAAAAGTGGCTGACTAACACACCGCTCTCCTCGCTCAGGGCCCCCTTTGCTGGTGATGCTGCTCATTGGGGGATTTGTTCTCTTCTCCTCTGCCCTCTTGTTGCTGGTTTTTCTCTGTCACAAGAAGAGGTGAGTAACACTTAAGTGTGTCCTTTCATGTCCCCCTTCTATTGTGTGCCCCCTGCCACGCCTGCCAGGCGGTGCCATAGGTTCAGATGGTGTCTAATCAGACTTCATGGCAGCAGGGAGAGGAGTTCCACCCACAGTCGGGCAGTCTAAGTCCCCCACGACCCACCTGCCCCCAGTTCCTTGCACGAGCCCCCTGCACTCCAGTGCCCATAGCTCGGACTGAGTTCTTGGCACTAAGCTCCAGCACTGCAGCACCTCTAAATGAGGGCTGGCTGTTCCTGGCCTAAGTGGAGCTGCTCCTTTTTGCTTCGGGACCAGTTGGATAAGACGGTGATGTTGCCAACAACACCTCCAGCACCTCTTCTGGGTCAGCCTGAGTTTTCCCTGGCAAGGATCTGCCGGATGGACCAGTCACCAACGCAATGGCCCACGCAGTGGAAAGTTGGCTGCTTCTCGTGAATGTGGTTCCTCCCTGAAACAAGGCTGACCCACTGCCTTGTCCAGGGGTCTTGGAGGAGAGGTGGGTGGATCTCCCCCGGGGCACAGAAGACCAGGGGCTTCTCCTCCCACATCTCTGACTACCCTTCTGACCTGGATGCCAACGAGACTCCTTCCTCTTCCATCTCCTGTCCCCACCACCCAGCTCCCATTTGTGCCCTGTTTGCCTACCTCCAGAGTCTTGGGGCAGTTCTCCGGGGGAGCAGGGATGAGGCAGATGGTTTGCCAGGGGTGGCAGCATCTTCCCCCTTACAAGCTTGTATGCTACCATTCCTCCAACGCACTCAATGAGTATATACTCCTCCCCCCCCAATGTTAACCTCACCGCAGCCGTCTACATCAAGTGGGTGATGGCTCCAAGGTCATCTCAGGATCTTTATGGCCAAGTGGGGATTTAAATCTGGTTCTTCTCATTCTGATACTCTAATCCAGCCAGTTCCCAACCACAGCCCTACAGATACGCTGAACCATCAGCAAGCTGGGTTCATGGGAATACGCTGGTACACCGGGGTGATGGTGTAATCATGCCGCCCCCTCAACAGTACACAACCAAGAGACAAATTATGTGTACATGCCCCAGCATGTTAAGGATTAGCCCAAAGTTTGCAGCATGCATGTAAATTCTACTTGGGTGCACTTAATCGCTTCTAGTCCTTGGTCAGAAACCAGTGCTGCACCCAACGGATATATTCTTTTCTGCTTCCCTTTAGCAGGAAGACAGCAGTAGATCAGGATTGCAGCCTCATCAAAGGTAAACTTTCTAAATAATATGAGATGTATCAGTGACACTGGAGACTTGTTGATGAGATCAGGTTTTTTATCCAGTTTGGTAGGGATGTCAAAGATACGGGTTATTTTTTACTTTCCACAACAGTTTTAGAAAATTTTCCTCACTTTTTTGAAGTAACTGGAAAACTGGAATATCAGTTTTAACTCACTCTCAGCTGAGGCATGGGAGATTTGGAATGTGTTCCTTTGCCCTCATACCCGAAGACTGGTGGGATGAACTAGTAAGTAGGAGCTGCCAATGAACCATTGTGGTGCGTATTTGTATTCAGGTTTTAGCCAGGTAGCCAGCTGAGTCTTATTTTAGCCTACTTCATTCCACTTCCTCTCCCCCCCCCCACAGTTTTCTGTCCTAAGGTGTCAGCCAGTGTTTCTTGCCTAATGACCATGTTTGGTCCACATTAGAGGGGTGGGTCAGGTAGCCTCTGTGCTCCCCCCTCCTAGTAAACCTTAGGTTTCCCCCTATACTGCCTTTATCTTGCATGTGGTTCATGCTCTTCATACAGCGTCAAATGACCACTCAGAGCATGCAGATGGAATTAACGCTGGCTTGCAACCAGATGGAAGTCATTGCAGAAGCACTTCCTCCCGAAACTATTCTGTTCTCCAGACCAAATATATACAGTGGTGCCTTGCTTAACAACGATAATCCGTTCTGGGAAAATCGCCGTTAAGCAAAAACATCGTAAAGCAAAATAGAAAACCCCATTGAAACGCATTGAAACCCATTCAATGCATTCCAATGGGATAAAAACTCACCATCCAGCGAAGATCCTCCATACGGCGGCCATTTTCGCTGCCTGTATAGCGAGGAATCCGTCCCTAAACACAGCGGGCAGCCATTTTAATTAGCCGGCAGCCATTTTGAAACCACCGATCAGCTGTTCTAAAAACATCGTTTTGCGAAGGATCGGTTCCCGAAGTAGGGAACCGATCATCGCAAAGTGAAATTCCCCCATTTAGACCATCATTTTGCAATCGCAGTTGTGATTGCAGAAAGATTATCGTGAAGGAGATTCATCGTAATGCGGGGCAATCATAAAGCGAGGTACCACTGTATATACTTTTTGTCTGTCAAGTGTTTCAAAGACTGCTTTTATTTCTCCAGCTGACATTAAGCTTCTGCTTTAGGTTACCCAGCGCTAGAAGCAAGCCAGGTCTGTTCCAGGGAGAACCTGCACTTGTCCACCGCTGAAATCACCTTGTTCCCCGGGCCGGAGACCACAGGAATTCACAGTGGAGCTCAGTCCCCAGGTATGTGACATCTGTTTTCAGGTAAGGGAATGGGCTGCTATGATGTAGAGAAGGAGAGGACAACCTTGGCAGGCCTGGGAGCCAACCTTCTTGCCTCCACTACTCATGGTGCACTGCACTAGGTCTCTGGATCGGCTGGAAATAGTCTGTCTTTCCCTTCTTAACAGATTCTTTTCCCCCCGTTAAAATAAAAATGATGTTAGGAAACAAACAAGTGGTGGAAAACATGGGAAATAAGCAGGAGCCCCACCAAAGATTCTTGCAGCTGCAGAAACAGCCTTCTCCAGCTGGGTTTCCCCTCCCTCAGGTGTGCTGGGCTGAAACCCCCACCTTTGCCAGAGGGGGCTGGCTAGGGGATTCAGACCCAGGGTCCATCAGATCTGAAGGGCATGAGGTTCAAGTAATGTGGTCACAGAACTGGGAACAAAACACGTTTTGATCCACATCTCCTATCATCGCCCAAGCCAGCCTGGCTGATGGATGGAGTTGCAGGAAGTTTATCATCGAGGCATGACGCTGGCTGTGCTGTTTTGGAGGTTGTCATGGGGGAAAGTAACTTTTCTGAGGTTCTGGTTTGTAGCATGTCTGCCTGCCCGCCCGCCCGCCTCTTTGCCCATCCATAACTCTGGCGATTTCTTCTCTCCTCCACCTGCTCCCACAGAATACGCTGAGCCAGATGTGGTCCAAGTCAGTCCCGCCAGCCAGACCGATAACTTTTCTGAGGTTCTGGTTTGTAGGATGTCTGCCTGCCCACCCGCCCGCCTCTTTGCCCATCCATAACTCTGGCGATTTCTTCTCTCCTCCACCTACTCCCACAGAATACGCTGAGCCAGATGTGGTCCAGGTCAGTCCGGCCAGCCAGACCGCTCCATCCACATTCAAGCCTGTCCCGGAGGAAGGCTACACGCTCCCCCTGGTGGTGAATCACTACGATGTTCCCGGCAAGTACCACGAGTATGCCGAGCCTTTGCCACCGGAGCCGGAGTATGCCACCCCTTTCACAGACCAGCCGTCGGCAGAGCCAGAGGGCTATCCCTACCAGAAGAGTCCCTGTGTCATCAAAGTCATTTCCTCTTCCCTGAGCCAGGCAAGCTCCCTTACGTCCCCAGGTTGCTCAGAACAGTATGACTTCCCTGCTCAACGACCAACAGAGACCCTGGACAGCAAAGCGAGCGAGACTGGCCCTGGCTATACGGAGCCTCCGGGCAATCAGCCTCTTAGCCCAATAGATGGGTTCTCAGCTGCACAACCAGCTACCTCGCCGGAGGGGCGCTCTTTCCAGCTCAGGCACTCCCCTCTTGCACATGTGTATCATGAGCCCTTGTGAGATACAACAGAAGAACTGCTAAAAGCCTACTAACCAGGCTGCGAAGAAGATGGTCTGCATTAAAGAGCTGGGGATTTTCGTGACAAAGATGTGAGGTCTGATTCCAAGTCAGGCTTGCTTGTTCCCCCCAGTGCAATGTCCTCTCCTCTGACTAGCGATCGCTCTCCCGAAGGGTTAGCTGTAGCACTGGGCAGAGTAAGGCAGCTGCCCTGAATGGCTGATGCTGGGAGAGAGGTGGGGTGATGGATGTCCTTCAAGCCTACAGAGTTTCCTTCTCTTGGAAGACAGAGCAGATTGTGCCATACAGCTAAATCTGCAGGAAAGTAGACTTAGCAAAATAATGGGGGGTTTGCTCAGAAGTGTTAAAAATTTGCAAAATGCAAAAATGAAAAACGTAACAATATTTTTGCCGGGTAAGCTTTCCTTGGCTGTACGGCACACCAGTGTCAACTACCAGTTTGATCTGCTCCTCTTTGCTAGTAGGCATCCTTCAGTCTCGAGAGACTATGGTCACATGCTCTGTATGGAGGTCTTGGAACAGCATCTAGTGTGGCTGAGAAGGCCATTTCGAGAGTGACAAAGCCTTCCACACTGAAGACAAATACAATCTGCCCCCGGTCCAGCTCCCTAATTTTGCTGCTTTTGTGACTTCCTCTTTGCCTCGGCCTGCTGGACAAGGGTCTCTTCAAATTGGGAGAGGCCATGATGCACCGCCTGCCTCCAGGCTGAACGCTCAGACGTCAAGGTTTCCCATCTGTTGAGGTCCATTGGAGAAAGGGCTCCATCTTGTCTCTTGCCTCAGAGAGTAAAATCTCCTGGGCAAGCAAGCCCTGTTTTCCTGGGTCTGTGAGCAAGACTCTGTCCCGTCCCCTTCTGCCTAATCCTTTTCAAACGGAGATGCTCAGGATTGCACTTCAGACCTTCCATGCACAAATGACGACGCTGTGGTCCCTGTCCACAGCCAGTTCTCTCAACCAGCAAAGCAGAATGGCTACTGCTCCTCCTTTCTTGGCCCTGGCAAAGCTTATTTCAGTTCCTCCCCTCCTCTGTTTAACAAATAACATCTTACAAAGCCAGAAGAGACTACTTTTGAGATTACAGTTCTCAGGACAGGCAGCTGGACCAGTCGCTGGGCTAGCTGAGAGATTCTGAGAGCTATAGTCCAGAAAGCTAGGACAGGAACTTTCCCAGACTGTGCGTCTTTCTTAGGATTCGAAGCCATCAGTGCAATGAGGATTAATAGTGAGGAATCACATGTATCTACTATAGAATACAACTTTTTCCTCACTCCCATGCGGTTGTAATTATTTTTGTAATGGGGGATTATATTGATAATATATGTATAATATATGTTGAATCGTGAGCTTCATAATCAGAGAGCAAGAACCAAGCCTCACCCAGTAGAGCTTATTATACAGTCCATAACCCGCCTGCATCAATTACTTTATTAAAAAACATGAAAGCATTTTGTAAACCAAATCAAACCCCCTTTTTCTTTCCCCTTCTGCCAACCATCCATCACTGACAAATGCACCTTTTAGTATTGTTCAGTTTTTGTTCATTTGTTTGTTTTCAAGATAAATTTCCTGTTCCTGTTGAAAAGTAGACTGTCCCCAGCAGAATTTTCTCTGCTCCAGTATAGAAAAGGTTGTGCATGTGTGGATCTCACCATAAGGTAAAAGGGAGGTATGTGTTTGTTCTCAGGAATGGTGGTAATTTCCACCAAGGTGGCCACTTTGCTCTGGTGTAGCAAAATATAGTTTTCAGCTTCTTAAACATTAACCTGTTTATTTATGTCCTGGAGTCTAGCAACACCAATGTGGCAATAAACATTCTACATCCGTAAGGGACTGCAAGACTTTATTAGGTTATAGAAGAGCAGGGAACATTTTGATGCTGTTGGATGGCACCTCGCATCATCCTTTCCCAGTGGCTATGCTTGCTGGGAGAAGTGCCGGTGGCCATCCAAATGACCTTGCCCTATCCTGAAGCCACAAGCATGGCTTGGAAACTCAGTCGCTGGCATTAATTCCTTAAAGATGTCCTGAAATTTGTAACTGGCTGTGTTCCTTCCTCCAAATGTTTCTGGGAGTGGAATTCCCATAAACCATCATCATTGGCTGCGTTGACTAGGGAATCATAGGCCAAAGAAAGCACCCCAGCTTATAGGATTGTTGGAAGCTAGACTACCGTCACCTTGTTCCAGTAAAGGCAATGTCTGTACAGGAGGAGGCAGATCCGCTGCTGTGCAGAGAATCTTACGTGCCAACAGGAGCTAAGGAAAACTGACAAGACATAAGCTTCTTAGCAGGACCTGCTGCTAATGCTTGCCTCCAAGCAATGCTTGGGCTCCCAATATTTCCCGCTTGGGGTTAATTTGAATAGCAAGAGGCAAAATAATGGGGTTTTTGTTCAAGAAGTGTTAAAAATTTGCAAAAATGAAAAACGTAGCAATATTTTTGCCGGGTGAGATTTCCTAGATGAAAGACTATGCAGATGCTATAGCTTTGACATCAAATGAGGTTTTGTTTTAATTTTTGTAACATCTTGCCTAAGGAATAAAGATTGAGATGGAGTTCCCATGGGCAAAAGATTTTGGTGGTCATGAAAGAAAAGTTCTTATTTTGATTTGGTTAATATCTTGTGGTACGGTGATTAAACCACAGTAGCACAGTGAAGACTCTGCTCGTGACCTGATGTTGACCCAAGCTCGAGGTTGGCTCAGACATCCATCCTTCCAAGGTCAGTACACAGGGGAGGGGGGGGGACAATCTGGAGCCTACATAATTAAATTGTAAACCTCCTTTATCAGATAGAGACAGTATAACATTTGGAGTCAGGGAATTTTATTTCTATAGACAAATCTCACCACTCCTTTTTCCTGCTTGCTATTCGAAACACCACCATCACCTATCTGGAACACGTTCCATTGCTATGGGAAAGGCCTTTTCCATGAGATTGCCCTTCCAAGACCATTTTCTCCTCCTGCCTTTGGGTATCACCAATTCCACTACAACTGGTCTTCTTAATCTAGAGGGCATCCACACTGGCATATATATATATATCAATATATGAATTGCTGATGGCATGGTTTGGATATATGTGTGTGTGTGTGTGTGGGAGACTGTGTTGCCACTTAGATTGATCCATCCTTCTGCTTTGCGAACTGTTGTGCACCTTTCCAGCATAGCAGTATGGCATGCATTCTTTTTGGCACAATTCATCCGCTTGTTGTTTAGTCAAGTGCCCCCTCTGGCCTTTGTCCTTGCCTTTCACCTGGCCCAGAGATGATCCACCCCTGGGTAAGAAGGGCTGCCTTGCCTCCATGACTCAGGCTGACTACATGGGGGCTTCCCCCCACCATCTGGTGGCAAGGTACATGGCTCACTTTTTGGAAGACTCAGGCTCTCTTTCCTCTCTCTCACCCCACCACTGCCTTCCCTTTATTCTTTCTATTTGCAAACTAATTATTTTTCATATCTTGAGCTCATCTGTAGAACTCCTGACCTCTCTGGAACTCTGCCTTCCTGAGCCAAGGACATCATTTCATCAAATTTTCAAACTATTTGCTTTAACCACATACATTTTGTACTCTCTATGATTGATGAAGACTTCTGAGGATTTCAGAAGCATATGTGACTTGTGTAGCTTCTTAGTGGTCCAGTAAAGGCGTTATCCAAACCAGCACTTTGTTTCTGTGGATTATACACCTATTTTTTTTCTAAAAGTGAGCAAATTCTTGGTTGATTTTCACCTCAGAAATAAGGTGAAGCGCTCATGAGATTTTCTACAGTATGACCCAAAATAACTTGACTAGTTCAAGATAGTGTTTTCCACCACACTCAAGTCAGCTGGAGAAGGTGTGGCACATAACTTGATTAATTCTTAGAAGAGGTAGCCAGGTTAGTCTGTGCAAGGACATCACAAAACAAGACCATGGCACCTTAAAGTCTATTATATTTTAATGTGAGCTTTCATGGATCATGTCCACTTTGTCAGACATTTTATGTCAACTAAAATTGATGGCGCTATTCCTAGAGATCTGAAAATGGGGCAAGGGCACATGGCATTTCAATCTCTAAAGAAAAATTGCTGATGGCATGGTTTGGATGTGTGTGTGTGTCTGGGAGACTGTATTGCCACTGATGGAGCTATTCCTAGAGATCTGAAAATGGGGCAGGGGCACATGGCATTTCAATCTCTAAAGAAATCATCCACCAGGTAAAAGTATTCATTTCGCTTTAATTTGGCTTCAATTGACTGTTCCTGGTGGTTTAACTAAATTCACAATCCCAAATCCGTTAAGAGGCAGACCATGTTCCTGGCCATTCTTAACTCCCCTAGCCAAATAGAAATCTTAAGAGGCAGGTCATGTTCCTGGGCATTCTTAACTCCCCTAGCCAAATAGAAATTCTTAGTTTTAAAAAGGCAAATAAAGGGGGAAGTGGAGGGTGTTGTTTCCTGGTTTGTGTTCTTAATAGTCAATTAAAACTATCACCTGTTCCTGTATCCCTTCCTGCTGCTTTCCATTTTTTTGTTTGCACGTGCCCTACAGAAGCTTCCCAGCTCCCAAAAGACCCACATCATCCCCTACTGACGTCTAACACACTCTTTGAGTGTTTGTTCCCTCCTTACACACCACCCATTTCTGGAATAATTGCCCAAACAAAACACAATCCCAGGGAATTATTGCTACAACTACCGTTTCCTCTAAAATAAACCCTAGCATGATTTTTCAGGATGCTTGTAATATAAGCCCCCTTTAAGTGAAACCCCGCCCTCAACTCTTGTGGGGAAGCAACCAGAAGATGCCATGATTGCATTTGAACAGAGATTATTGTGCATTAAAAAAATTAAAACATTCCCTTAAAGTAAGTCCCAGTGCGTTTTTCCGGAGCAAAACTTAGGACCGCATCTAATTTTAGGAAAAATAAAGCATCTTCTTTCCTTTTCACTCTTCGAAATTGTGGGGAACCGGAACAAGCGATTACCAGCTACCCCGGGCACAAAAATTATGCTTCCGAAATCTCTTGATAGCGATTCCGCACAGAAAAAGATTAAGCCGCAGCCATCTCTCTCCGTGTGCTACTCACAGCAGAAGCCCTTTTTAAAGAAGCGCCGCTCCGGACCGCCTTGCGAAACGATTCGCCCTGCCTATATCAGTCATGGCGAGCCGCCTCGGCGCCACTACAAGTACATTCCGCGAAAATATCTAAACCGATGAATGGTGCTGGCCAATGAATTACTTTAACTATCTATTCCCACCCCCCCATACACACGGGGGTACGTTTTCGTAGCCTCCCGCCTTCCCTAGCCAATATGCAAATTAT